TGAAGAGAAAAACATAATATGTAATGAAAATATCCACAAACGCAATAACAAACCAAATTACATTGCACAGTTCCTGCAGTTGTAAAGCATAGAAACATGCCTTGCGAAGCTTGTTAATCAAATGAAACCGTTTTCTTGGCTCCGTGTTAGCCTCCTGTTTTAGCTGCATCGCATAAGACCAATCCCGCTCTGCACTTATCAATGGGATGTGAATGAAGCGTTCGTCAGCCCGTTTTCCAGTTAGTTGGGCTAATGTTACATCTCGCCGTTTAAAGTGACGTTTGTCGCCCTGTGGATACTTTAGGGCTTTTCTGAGACGACGAATACGTCGGGTGCAATAGCCACGGTACCGTTGGTAGTCCCCATGTCGCAAACCATGTTGTTGCTGGGCATCCTTCACCATATGCAGTACTGCAGTTCAGAAACATAAATAAACGATAAAGTGGAGAAAGTGATGCACGAAATCCAATTACAAATTCTATTTGTAGGTTAAGGTCTGTCTGACCTAAGCAAGTTTGTTTATCTTACCTTCAACGGTGAAGACTTTGGTGGGCTCCACTGGCTGAGCAGGTTGGTCTCCTTCAGTTTTCTCCACATTTTCTGTGTTGGGAGTTTCTTCCACCATTATTTTCGCTTAAAAATAACTATTCCACGACGTGTTAAAATTTTGTCTAGGAAAAGAAAACTGTGGACTGTCTTGTTAAATGTCAGAACGTCATCGATTTTTGACATGGAATTTTGACATCAAAAATTGTAATAGAACTTGCAGAATTCAGCTTCTTGCAAGCTACAAATGTTAACTATAATCAAAAATGTTTATATGTGTACATAAATAGAAATAGCCTAAAAAATACCGTAGTATTTGTAGTTATTTTAAAATATTCAATTAAAAAATATCATCTTTATAGGAATTGGTATCTGCACTTCATTGTCGACGTTCTCAATTGGTAACGCAGTTTACCAATGTGACGTTTCTTTTTCTACCACGGTTGCCAGTACTCAAAATTTATTAGTACCAAAATCATAACAAAGAAAATGCATTTTCCATTAATGAGCGCCAGCTTTATTTATTAATTTAATTTAATTTATTTATTAATTTACGCAAAAACTTAAATTTTTTTGTATTTATTATTTAACATGATATTCCAGGAAACGCGGGAAGGTTTTAATTGATTGTCATTTTGAAGAAAAAAGGAGAAATCTTATAATTTTGAAACTTGTCATTGATATTGAGAAAGGAAAAATACCAACACCAACAATTTTCAACATAACCGTTACAAAGGGGAAATAATGCATAACATATTTATGAAGTAGATTTTTAATAAATTTTTCGCAAGTTTAATAATAAATAATATTTATTGGAGTACAATTTCATACTAGTGCTTTTGCTTGACTGGAGTTAATCTCTTCGCCAATTTACTTACTTTATGATAAATAGCTTATGATAAAATCTCAAAAATCTCAAGTTTATAATTTGATTAAAAAATTACCTTTTTATGGAAAACGGTACCAAACTACTGTTTACCATCGATGAAAAAAAGTACTACTTTTGGTACCAAACTACGGAGAGTGGCAACTGTGCATTCCCCTTTTGAAATTCCAAGGCGAGGTGTTTAGTTCGCCGTGTTTAGTAAATTTTATAATCTTTGAGGTAATATAACATCAGAATATCCATAAATTATATTGCTATAGAAAGTATGTATTTCGCATAAGAGGAGTGGTGTTGTGAACTAATGGAAAAAGATATATAGCTCATAAGTTTCGCAAAAAGTTGAGGTTATATTTTGGGTGCTTTCGCTGACCGTGATTGGTTTCCGAACAATGCCAACCAGGCGAGTGTAAATACGCGTGTCTTCATAGTTAATATCCTAGTTTTTAGGGGGAATAGTAGATTGCTTCGTTGTCAGTGTTAATTCACCAGCCAGTCTGAGTGTAATACGCATGTCTTGATGTTGATCCCCTAGTTAGTTTTTAGGGGTAAGGGTTGGAGTGGAAGTGGATTGCTTCGTTGTCAATGTTAATTCTTCACGAAACGCAACACGCTTTCATTTTTTAAATATGTAGCTATAACAATTGTATATAACTTGCTTTCAGCATGTCGCGGAGAAAGGAAAATGAGGAGACAGATAAACAGACGCGTATTGCTATAGTCAGCGATGATAAATGCAAGCCAAAGCGTTGCCGTCAGGAATGCAAGAAATCCTGCCCCGTTGTTCGCATGGGGAAACTTTGTATTGAGGTGGCGCCCACGTCAAAAATAGCTTCACTCTCGGAGGAACTGTGCATAGGTTGCGGTATTTGCGTAAAGGTAAGGAGCCCGTATCTTAACATATAAAAAAACTAAAGTTTAGCAATACCATTTTAGAAATGCCCCTTCGAAGCTATTACAATCATCAACGTTCCCAGTAATCTGGAGAAGCATACCACCCATAGATATGGAAAAAACTCATTTAAACTGCATCGTCTCCCGATTCCTAGACCTGGTGAAGTGCTTGGACTAGTTGGCCAAAATGGTATCGGCAAGTCCACAGCACTGAAAATCCTCGCCGGCAAACAAAAGCCTAACTTGGGAAGATACAGTGATCCACCAGACTGGACCGAAATTTTGGCATATTTCCGGGGTTCAGAGTTGCAGAACTACTTTACCAAAATATTGGAAGACAATTTGAAGGCGCTCGTGAAGCCACAGTACGTTGATCAGATACCTAAGGCTGTGCGTGGTGCTGTCGCTGAACTACTCGACAAAAAAGACGAACGCAAGAATCAGGGTACAATTTGTAAAATGCTGGACTTGCTGCATATACGTGACCGTGACGTTGCTCAACTATCTGGTGGGGAATTACAACGCTTTGCTATTGCAATGGTGTGCATTCAGGATGGTGATATTTTCATGTTTGATGAACCCTCATCGTATTTGGATGTGAAGCAACGTCTAAATGCTGCTTTAACCATTCGACATCTACTGCATCCCACGAAGTGAATACCAATTTTTTAATACATTGGTCCGTTGATTAATGTAATTCTTCATTTAGATTTATTATCGTTGTGGAGCACGATTTGTCAGTTTTGGATTATCTTTCGGATTTTATTTGTTGTCTTTACGGTGTGCCAGGTGTTTACGGTGTTGTTACAATGCCTTTCTCGGTACGTGAAGGCATAAATATTTTCCTGGATGGGTTTGTGCCAACCGAAAACATGCGTTTCCGGACTGAATCACTAACCTTTAAGGTAAATAATATATTTGAAAAGAAAATTGTTTCATTCCGACATAATGGATTCTAAATTTTAGGTCTCTGAATCAGCAACTGAAGAGGAAATTAAACGCATGAATCACTATGTGTATCCCTCCATGAAAAAGACATTGGGAAAATTTGAATTAACTGTGGAACAAGGTCACTTTAGCGATTCTGAAATTATCGTTCTATTGGGTGAAAATGGTACCGGAAAGACAACTTTCATTCGCATGTTGGCTGGAAATTTGCAACCAGATGAAGAAGTCGACTTGCCAGTTTTAAATATATCTTACAAACCGCAAAAAATTTCACCCAAATTTCAAAACTTGGTGCGTCATCTGTTGCACGACAAAATTCGTGACGCTTATGTGCATCCACAATTCATTGCAGACGTTATGAAGCCCATGAAAATCGAGGAAATAATGGATCAAGAGGTGCAGAATTTATCTGGTGGTGAATTGCAACGCGTCGCTCTAGTTCTTTGTCTAGGTAAGCCAGCTGATGTTTATCTTATCGATGAGCCGTCGGCTTACTTAGATTCCGAACAACGTTTGGTAGCAGCTAAGGTCATTAAGAGGTATTACAATATTTCCCTTTCCCATGTGTACAATTTTATTCATTACTGTTCGTGCAGATTTATTCTACATGCGAAACGTACCGGCTTCGTCGTGGAGCACGATTTCATCATGGCGACTTACCTAGCTGATCGTGTTATTGTACTCGAAGGTCAACCCTCTGTAAAAACCACTGCTTTCTCGCCACAATCATTATTAAATGGCATGAATCGATTCCTGGAACTCTTAGGCATCACCTTCCGCAGAGATCCCAACAATTTCAGACCACGCATCAACAAAAACAATTCGGTTAAGGTAAGTACAATTTCTAGGTTTTTATTGTAAATATAAAAAATATATTTTTCAAACGCAGGACACTGAACAAAAACGTTCCGGTCAATTCTTCTTCTTGGAGGATGATGCCGGCAATTAAGGAAGTATATTATGTGAATTATATACAACTGGAACACAATATAGCGCAGTTACTCGGAGACATAAATGGTTTAGATATCTTTTTGTGCATTCATAAATTTTGTAATCTTTACAAAAGATCAAGACAAACATAGCTCATGCCAACTGCTGTTGGATATTTAAGTGCTAATTTCTATTTTTGTATAGATTTTTTCTGGATCCTTACTTTTGTCTTGTAATGTTACTGCTAGTCGTGAAACATTACAGATGGTTATGTTAAAACTATTTTGTACAATTTTTCAATAGTCAAATTAAAGAAAATACTGTAATAAAAAAAATTATATAAAAGCGCGAATTAAAGGCAGACCGGATGCGTAAACGAAATTATTTAGATATCTTTTGAATGAAGTAGCTGGGTTAGTCAAGCAAAACGTTCCTTCAAAAGCCGACTGTCATAGGCAAGGCTAAACTAGATTCATAAACCACTACATATTAAATTACAACATCATGTTAATTGTTAAGTCTGTTTATTTTATTTTAAAATCGTGCAGTTTGAAAGCGACTTGAATTTTTAATTAGCATGATACAAAATATATACTTATTAAGTTTTTATTCAAAATTAAGAAATTCTTGGCAAAAAAATTATTTTCAGACGAAATTGATTGCCGTTTTGATTTCAATCCTTTTGCCTCACATAAACAGCCGAGTAGTGTTGTAAAGTCATTTTGCAAGTAAGCTCATTATACAAATGTATACTATACTGACACCCAAATTTGTAATTTCTTTAGTAGCCATTTACTGATTTTTTTTTTTTTTATATTTGGTATGTATTAACTAGAAGGCAGACGGTCGTGTGTAGAACGTTCATGAAAAAATTACACCTAGAATCGTCACGAATGAATTTTTTTCTCGATTTTTTATTTAAAAGGATTTATACGATGTTTGGAAATTTTTCAATCGAATAAAGAAGAGTACACCATTTAAGTGACCGCGATGTTAACTTTAGTAGTAAACTATTAATAAATATGTATACATAAATACATACATATATGATTTTGATGCAACCTGCTCCTTCAAAAACGGTTCAATTTGCATTGCTTTTAAAATACTAGAAGTATAATTGGCATTATTATTTACAGCTTTCTTCAAATTTCTTCCCAAAAGGAATATTAGTTAAATTTGTATTTCATCATTATCCTATTTATAAACCTATACTTAATTACAATAAAAATGCGTCAAAAATTGACTCAATTTAATGGTGCACATATTCACCACTGTGATGCCTGTTGTGTCCGAAGACTATTCGAATACTTTACAATAAAACAGTTTTAAGAGATATAGTTAGAGAGCAAAAGGGGACATTTGAATGAGTTTTATGAAGAATCAGTAATATCCCAATTACTTGCTAAACTTGTAATGAATTGCGATGGATCTTTTGGTTGCGGCAATCAATCAGCAGCCATGAGTTCCTCGATTTCAAGGCTCAAGTCTGAGGCTTGTTTGCGTAACCGTATTGCCTGCGATACATTTATCATAGTTTGAATGAGATTAGTTATTAAGTTAAGTACTTACTTTTGCCCGCAATTCCTTTTCTTGTGTGACCAATTCCTGTATTTGTTGCATTGTTTGTGTGCTATTCTTCTGTTCAAGGGTCCAGCGCAGATAAAGTTCTGAAATTATGTTGAAGAAAAGTTTCAAAATACAACAATAACTTATTTTACATTCATTCATTCATTACCACTCCACAGCTCTAAAGAGATCGGCGCCACGCTAGGCCAAATCACGCTTGGATTTGGCTCGTACAATGGATTTAACATATTTTTCAGTACATCTGGCCGATTTAAATATGACCACAAACTAGTTGTACGTGTATGTACGCCCAGCTCCTGACGCTCGCGTTCGGAATCGCATAGAAAGGTGCCATATTGTGAGAAATAACTGTGCTCATAGAGCAAGATTAGAATTTGCGAGCTAAATTCAAAACTGCAGGGAAATTGTGTATACAGTTGGTAGATACAATCGAGCAACAACACAAACGAAGCACCAGCATTTTTGGGACGATTCTGCGCGGGCGTATAACTAGCATACCGATGACGCGACGCAAATGGATGGCCAGCCTGTATCCACTCACGCTCAATTAATGCTTGTATTCTAATTAGGAAAATCAATTTAAGGCTTGAGTATAGTACGTTAAAAAAAGTATAAACTTTACCCGCGTACAGTGCGACAATCAGGATTAAGTACAATCTGCACTAGTGACGTCACAATCAGCGCGGAATCCAAACCTTTAGAGCCATGCACCAGCACTGGACTACCCTCTTGATCGAGGCATTGTGCTACCACACATGCGGCATTTAGCGAATTCAGGACAAGGCTCAACCAACCACTTGCTTCCAAACGTGATATCCATTTGTCCGCCGAGCATGTTATATCATTGCAAGCTAAACGAGGAATGCAAATTTAAAGCTACAGTTGTGAGAATCTTAAGATCTTGTTGGCTACCTTCAATTAGTTTGGCGAAACTATCCAAAATCGCTGATGGTGTTGAGACATTTCCAATGGCGCGATTCACTTTCTTCCACTGCGAGTAGTGTTGGTCTGTTTCGGTATTCGATTTACCCTTACCCCAAGTATCGACGATGAATCCCTTTTTACTGCGTCCCAGCACCACGTTAAGTATCGCCTCGTCGGCCCTACAACGTTTAATACCTTGCATGGAGAGTGGTTGTGCGCTGCGCATTAATGTAGCCTATAGATTTAAAGGAGAGAGGTGATGTATAGAAAATTATCTTATATAAAGTTCCAGTTCGAGTTAGTACTATAGATTTTCCTAATATATATATATATATATATATATTCGCCAAGAGCGTTTTTTCTTGACAGAAAATTGCAATCTCACTTTTTATCAGAAGAAATTATAACCTTCGGGGACCAGTATTTGCTATATGGTCGCATTACTCCCACAGAAGCATATCGTCGTTTAAAGTACAAAATCGCGTATCGCCATTCTGCAAAACCGCGTAACTGACATTTGCTGCCAAAATTTGGGTTTGCTCACACAAGCTCTTGGCTCAATCCTTATCACTATCCAGAAATTGCGATTGCTTTATAAAAAAAGAATTCCATTTTGAAATACGAGTGTTTTTACTCTCAAGAAAATAATTTATGCAACCTCACATATGCGATTTCGCACTTTGTTGATACGCGGTTTTGTACTTTAAAATACGATATGTAAATACATTTAAAAATTATACACTTGTGTGCGTATGCATAAGAGATTAAATATACTGCACAATGTAATTGATAGCAACACAACCACTGCTTTGGGCTTGATATTGATTTCAGTTACATATGCACACATGTATGTACAGATAAATTTCTGCAATTTTAGAACGATATGCACACAGTTTATTTTCAAACCTCTATTGTATGGGAAATCAACAAACTACACAACTTACTCACCCCATTTTCATGCCTATAACTTAACACCGGAAATCTGCCGCCATCCCTGAACGCAGCCGATTGCACAATTTGTTCATCAGTAATAGATTTGGGCACAACAAGTGTTGTGCCATATGTTGGACATACACTAAAGTCCTTGTTGACAGTCGTTATGCGCCATTCGCAGCCGCCCACAGCCCCAGGTGTTGTGCCGCCAGCGCTACCGTTTTCATTACCGTTTAGCAGATTACAGACAGCACCGGAAATTAGTTTCGCAAACTCTAGTTCAGGACTACAAGATGAAGGAAGAGAGTAATACTTTTACATGATGACAAAATTGCATTTTTTTATTACCTACATACAAACATATGTATGCACATACATACATATGACGTAGTAGTTTTATATGAATACGTACCGAAACATAGTGAATCCATCCTCAAGTATAGTATACATGGGCCGGTAGAAAAAAGGATATTCAAGTTCAGGATTGTGTAGCGCGCTGAGTGCCTCCAATGAAGCTGCTACGTTAAAGTACTCCCTAGCATACTTAATCTCCAGCGAAATAATGCGCAAATCTTTGCACTTCAATGTAATGATACCGCCCATCACCATGTTTTGTACCATGAATGGCTTTTTCTCTACACAGTCGATGTTCTTGTGCAACAACTGGGAATGAATCAAAAGAAAAGTTCATATACAAAATTATAATGTTTTCTTTTTGTTTAAAACACACACTTCTGAATGCATGCATATATGTATGTAGGTATACGATCTATGACCAGTCACATGTGCTGACATGGATATGCAGATATGCTAAAAATAAGCATAACACATCAACGAACAAACAAGCTGGACAGCATTAGATACAGTGTTAATGACGGTGGAAAAAGTGTGGCACGCGCACAGCACGTTTCCATCTGATTGATTATTTTATGACTTTAGCTTTTGTTTACCCAGACAGATTTGACTGAAAATCTCTTACCCATAGCTCCTGGCTATTCTCTTGCCGCGCACTCAACAGCAGATGATGACCTGTAATGCAAAGTGTTCCTTCAACTGTTGCATGCAGATGGTCATGTAGAAATACTCCGTCTAACTTTGGCGTTTTAATAAGGTCCGCGAACTCCATTCTTCCCCCGAGTGAAAAATTAATGCGGCTCTGCTTTCCAGGTCACTAGCGCTATAAAGCGTAAGTAAATTTACTATGCGTATGCGTGTGTATGCGAGTGCTGCAAATGCAATTAGTTACGGTGGCTCATTTAATTAACTTTACACATTGCCATTATCCTAGTGTATGTTGAGGGAGAAATGCGGGAATGCAAGGCAGCTCTGCACAGTGACAGGCTGGATGGATAAAAAAAAGCTTTGTAAAAAGGAGCCTATCGCTCCGAGAGATTGCGTTTGCTTTGTTTTTATGCACGAATTTTTGATATTTGTATTTCTTTACTTTTTATTAGCGATTGATTTTTCTTTTTATTGCGACAGTAAACACACGTTATTGCAAGATTTTACACAATTTTAAGCCATTTTCCGAATTTTCACACAATTTTCCTACGAAATATCTGATAAGAATCCGACGGCGACCCAATCAGTCTGCAAGTTTTCTTTTTCTGCTTTTGTTTTGCTATGTGCCAGGGATGGAATTCCAATATGTATTTCAAAATGTGCCTAATGAACTGCAGAAACAGTTCCAAAAAGTAGTTGGCAGTAAGTCTTTTTAAGAACCACATATTTATTTTTAGAACTTCATTGAATTATTAGAGTAAGATCATATTAAAAAAACATTTGGGCAATTCACAAGGTGTCGTATTTGTCGTGTTTGTCGTGAAGTCATGATATTTCATGACAGTTGTAAAAATGTTGTTATTGTTTTGTGAAGAAAAATAACACATGACGATACAACTCTGCAACCTATGTTTATTCGGTGTTATGTGAGGTTAAGTGCTGAGATATAATAAATAATCGTAACAGGTGTTCACAACCGTCGTGTTTTAACACAACTTTTGTTAGGAAAATATAACTTCACAACACCTTGTGAATTGCCCAATAACTTCACAACACCTTGTGAATTGCCCAATTGTCTTCCAATTACGAAGGTGAAAAACACTTAAATATAACTGTTCGGACATGTTTACACAAATACATACCTATGTGCGAAATAATAGCAGTGCGACATTTTGACCAGTTTTGACTATTCTTTGCATTGAATAATTTTTATTAATTTTATATAATTGCCCTTATTTTAACCTTTAAGTAATTTAAAATTTTCGAATCTATGAGTAATTTATCGTCGTTCAAAGTACAAAACCGTTTATCATCATTCTGCAAAACCGCGTTACTGACATTTCCTGGCAAAAATTGGATTTACTCACACAAGCTCTTGGCTCAATACTTATCCGTTCGTTCTGAAATATATATAGAAAAAAATGTATGCAACCGCACATACGCGGGTTTGCATTTTGTTGATACGCGGTTTTGTACTTTAAACGACGATATGATTATTTGTTATATACTGGCTAAAGTTCTGTAATATATATTTTTGGCCAAAACTGAATGAATTGTGTCAAAAGTGCCCTTGTAGGTGAAGGTGCCAAAAATAACACTATTATGCCTACTTTTCCATCACTGCTAACTGCCAAAAGAACAAAAGCTCGATTTTTGACATTTGTCGGCTGAGCGTATGAGCTTAAAGCTCAAATTTTGTTTGTGTGCAAATGCATCCAACTGCATCGGAAGCTATTAAAAATCATGTTAAAATTTAAATTCTGTTTGAATTATCTCCCATTAAAATGCAAAATACATTAGTTTTTATTAAGACCAGTCACTTTTAATGAAATTAATACATTTGTACGAAGATATATACATTATGTGAAGACAAAATAATAAAATAGCAGATTTTTTTTCTATTTTAACCGCCCTGCAAACCAAAGTTTCCGAAATCTTGGAGAAATCGTTAGGAGTATCTCATTTCTGTAACGATTTTTTTTCGAATTTTCAAAGAAAATTTTATGAAGTGGTTGACACGAATTCGTAAAGAAATTTCTGAAAGATATTCTTCACATAGCAGCATTATTTTCGTTGCTTCACAGATTTTCTTCCGAAATTTCGTAAAAGAATGGAAGTGTGCGTAATTTATTTCATTTTAGAAAATTCGGCAAAAAATCGAATTAAATCTTAACGACTTCTTTAAAATTTATTTACAATGCAGAATACTCTGAAAAAATTGAGCTTTTTTTAATGTACTCTGTACATTAGGGTGGCCCCTAAAACCAAATGTTAAAGATATCACATATAAATTTTGGTCTGGGAATTGCTAACTGTTTAATCCATGCGCGAAATCTAAAAATCTCCGCCGCAAAGTCTATGGCCACCTTACTCACCAGCTTTACGAAGAAATTTGATACCGATGGAACAAAAATCCCGTCCGTAAATCACTCATAAATTGGGTGTAACTGCGTTAATCAGCAAACAACCTCCGAAGCAGGAACAACAGCAATTGGAGAAAAGACCCTATTCGCCACGAACAAAACTGTTGCACGATCGGTAGTAAACTACGCCGCCCTAGTGTAATCCTTGGGGGAAAAACCTGCCAGAGCATCGCCCTACGCTCCAGCACTGGGAGGAGACACCGATACCATCGGAATAACATTAACACACCGAGGCTGGTGTGCTCCCGTGCAGACTCCTGCCAAGGTTGAACAGCTTATGTACATCGCGAAGTGGTCCGCACTCAGCTACAACGTGTCATGAAATTGGACGTCCACGTGACGCAAGAGCTGCGCAGTCTCAGCTCCGATCATGTTGGCGTAGTATGATTAATCCGTACAGAGCAAGACTAGATGCGAACATCGAAGGCATCTGCCCCGCTGACAGAAACGAATCACCCTCTTCCTAATCATTCTTCCGAAGAAATTTGGCGGAAGTCTTTAAACATAATAGATTTTATTATTCTGGTGGAAAACCACGATTTTTTTTTTGGTGAGGTACTCTAATGTACATATGTATCTGTTGACTTTTGACAAAACAACCTCTGTGCATTCTGTAGGTTGCAATTTAGAGTACCTGTATAAGGAACTTCCATTTGAAAATTTTACATTTTTATTTAAATTTCATTACGACATCATCTTGAACTACTCCTATTAAGGACTAAAAATTAAAACATTATTCGAGAACTCAATGAATTACTGCTTTAAAGACAAAATGACGTCACTCGAGAGAAGTTGTTTTGTCAAAAGTCCACAGATATACATACATATATCTCCCGTTTGCAAATTTACCACTTACCTTTAGAATTGCTTGCATATAAAAAAAAAAACGTGAATTTCTTAATGGTATATATGTATGTATTTCATCACTGCATCTGCACAATTCTCTTCACTACCCTTAAAAATATTTAGTTTATCTGTTAGCATAGAAATTGATTGTTTTGCAAATTTTCGCTAAATTTTGGTGTAAAAGTTGTGTAAAGGAATGTTTACTTATAAAAACACTAATTCATACATACATAAGTATGCATGGAGGCGTGTACGCCTTTCTACTACCCAACCGATTGCTTTAGAATTTTGCAGCTTGCATAAAGAATGAGATAAAAACCTTTGGTGTTTCTTGGAGGGGTTAACAGACGCATATAAAGCCACATACATACGAGCGTAATCAAAAGAAATCTATAATGAAATTAGTGAACTTCGTGCAGTGGTAAGATTCTAGGAAGTACTTACGGTATAGCATGTGCACTGGCGTATGTTGAATAAATTATTATAAAAAAAAAAAAAATCAACACTACTTATGTTGAATCGCCGCTATCTCTAACGAAGAATGTATGAAAAAATGAAAGCTAGTGTTTACAAGTCGTAAATGCCAAGTTGTGGATTTTTTTTATTAAAAAAATTTTGTACCAATTACAAACTTAAACGTATATTTTAAATGAATAAAAAACTTAGTTTCAATAGTAGTACTAATAATGAATATTTAATGATTGTAATAGTAATAAAAATAACAGCAGGTAGCAAATAAGGCCTACCGTTAACAGTAATAATTTACATTAACTAAAAATTATAAAAAAAAATTCACTAATTCAAATAATTAATTGCTACAACTTACGAGCATAAAATTAAAAATGCAACGAGCAAATGAACGCCGATAAATGAATTACTGCTTTTTAAATAAATTTAATTTAAAATATATTTTTAACGCCTTTCTTACTATTCATCAATTATGGGCTATTCGTGTGTAAATGGATTCGTTGTTTCGGATATTAAAAATGCGACGTTTAATGTAAATTTATATGTATTTACAACCTTAAAAATAATTAAGCAAAGTTTGAGTTTACTAATATTACATGTAAATGTTCCGAAAAAGTTTTAAGAAAAAAAAAACGAAAATAAATTAATTCAACAAAAACGAATGATCTGGAATGCTTTCCTTTTAAGAAAACTAACAAATGAAGAAATTATGTTAGATGTATGGAAGAAATCTCGATAAATAACGCGGCGAAGACGCAAATGGGAAGACAGCAAATTTCCAAAGTATCTTTTGTACAGTAGAAAATTAAAAAAAATAAATAAATACAAGCACTAAAAACAACGAATAGTTTTTAACTGGAAGTTTATGCATAAAGTAAATGAATGTATGTATGTAGAAACAATTTGCCATGAAAACAGATAATTAACACAAATCGAGTGTCAGGCAATTCAATTTTTCTTTCGGAATATGCAATTACATAGTATGCATAAAAAATAGTGTGCCTCTTCTATGAATGTATTTCCACAAATTTACGTATTCTGGAAAATATTTAGTAATGCGATTTGGTTTCCAATGCAAAGTATTTGCCAATGTAGAAATTAATTCATGTATTTAAAACGAAAACAAAAAACATAAAAAATACCAAACACATTTCTTTCGATCGTATGTAGCTGACAAATTGTGAAAAAATATGTTGTAAAAATGTTTTAAAAAATAAAATTTTCTGCAAATAAGCACTTTTTAATATTAAAAATTTCAATTCTCAAATATCCTTCATAAAACCGTTCAGTCTCTAAGCATACAAATGGGAAATGCCCCTACTTTAATGTAAAAATTTAGTGCTGGCCAATAAGAATTCAAAATAAAATAGTGCGATAATCTAAAAAC